TATATATTTTATTTATATAATATAAGTTATATAATTCATATCATATATTATGTATATATATTAATATTAGGGATTTCAAAATGGCTCGTTGTTCGCGAACAGCTCGTGTTCAGCTCGTTCCTTAAGAAACGAACGCTAACAGTGACTTTACGAACAATTTCGAACATGAGCTTATTTCAAACAAACTAAATTTCAAACAAATCGAACACAAACACAAGCTCTAATCGTTCGTGTTCGGTTCGCTTACACCCCTACCTCCAAACACAAGAATATCACGCCTTCAAGTCAAAAACAATTACATAAATAATAAACAAAAATAACTTCAATAATATAAATTGAAGAATTTTATGGATGTATGAAGGAGGACAACCCTTTGATGGCAAACAAACATAATTGAAAACAGAACTGAAAATAACTTGAAATAAGTGGAGCGTTCAACTAAATGATCAAAGAAAATATTTTATAGTTAATTTTATGTAGGGGTGTAAACGAGCGGCGCGTGTTCGGCTCGTTTATATTTCGAGCTAAAAAAGTGTGTTCGTGTTCGGCTCGTTTGCCTAACGAGCCGAACATGAGCTGTTCACGAACAAAGAATCCTTTTTAAAGCGGTTTGTTAACTTTTCGAACGAAATTAACGAGCCGAACACGAGTTTTTCGCGAACAATGAGCCGTTTTGACAGCCCTAATTTTATGTCTTATAACTGTTATTAACCAAGTCAATCTACTTAATCAATATTTTAAATTGCAACAATCTACTAAATGCCTCAGAGAATAATAATGTATTTTAACTATTAGATCATAACAAATGTTGGAGGAAATGGCTTAAGAATTAACACTATAACTTATAAATATCAACCAATTCCAATATGAAATTGAGCTTTAGTGCCTCTCAAGCTTGACCATCTAAGTATGCTTGATTTATGATATATTTTGCATTTACATCTAAAGAATTTTACTAAGTCAATCTAGTTAGGATGAACATAGTGTCATTAAAACGATCACCTTTTTTGTAAATCCATTTGGAAAGAAGATTGTATCAAGAACCTCACAACACTAAACTTTTCAATAGCAAAGGAAATCTAATTAAAATAATTTAGTATTTGTTAAGATTAAAAGATAGTATATTTTTTCTTTTAAAATAATAAATTGAATTATTGGTTCCTAATACAAAATTGTAAAAAAAAAATAAATAAATAAAATCATAGGCCTAAATATTTACTTGATTGCATTTTCATAAATGTATAAAACAAAAAACCTTAATTTCTAAAATTTACTTTTAAAATATAGATTTGAAATGATAAAAGAAGAATGGAGAACATATTTGACTTGGAAGCAAGGAAATAAAGATTCACTTCTACACAAATACACACAAGTAGGGCTATCAATTTGGCTCGTTGTTCGTAAACAGCTCGTGTTTGGCTCGTTCTTTAAGCCTAACGAGCCGAACCCAAACAAATTTTTAAGCTCGAAATGTAAACGAGTCAAACACGAACAACAGTTTGTTCGCTCTCGAAATGGCTCGAAAAAAAATTATATAACTTTTTATATAATAATATATTACATATATTATTTATATAATAATATATTATATATATTTATGTCTAAGTTTAAATCATAACATCTCATGTGACAATGTGGTTAGTGTTTTTTTTTATAGATTTGATTCAGGTTCGAATCTCACACTTTACATCTATTTTTATCAATTTTAGTTTAACGAGCCAATTTCGAGCCGAACGTGCCGAACACGAACACACTGTTCATGAGCCGATTTCGAACACGAGTTGATTTCGAACACGAGCTATTTCGAACGAACCGAACACGAGTCTAGCCTTACTATCACTCGGCTCGTTTACAGCTCTACACACAAGAAGACTAAAATAAATTAGAACTATGAAAGAGTTCTACTTTAAACAATAAATAAAGTGAGAGAGCGAAAACATCAAGAAAACTATTCAGTTGACATACATAAAGTATCCTAATCTAGTAGAATGATACCTAAGAAGTCATAGAGGCCTAATCAAATCACATTCCTTACTATTACAAGAAGTGAAGGCCCATTAGAGCTTTTTAAAACATTAATCATGGTAGAATAAGAGATATAATGAACACAATTCAAGGTCACTTCGACATTCAAAGCTCACCATTGCTTATAAATTCTTGAATCATTGATAAACAAGAAGGCGATGGAAGTGAATTTCTAGTGAATTCAAGTTATGCATGTACTTGGTAAACGATGAAAGCAACAAATTAAAATCTATATTTCATGGTGGATGTTGGTCAACCTTTGAATAATACTAAAGTACCTTATGTGATATGGTATTCTTCTTCTTCTACTTATTCATCTTTCTATCCATTTTTATAGGGCAACCTCATCAATAGTAATTACATATCTATTATATCCTTTGAACCAAAACCATACAACTTATTTCTCAATATTCATAAATGAATTATTTTTTGCCATTTAATTTTGGTATCAGTTGTATGAAAAACCTACTATCATTAAGGTGCAAGGAGATCAAGATAAATAATATCAATCCTAATATTTCCATCAATTCCAACAATTATCAAATTTCTGGAATCCTCAAAAATAATATACCTCCAGCTCAAGAGCTTCTAGATACACTCTTTGATGATTTATAATAATATATTGTATTTCTTATTGATTTTTGGAAAATTTTACACATCTCCCTTGTAAACTTTCATATTTACATGCATAGATAGCACATTGGTGTTTTAAACCTATGCATGAAAATGTGTATTTCACCTTTTTAAAATAGTAATAGCGTTATCTGTTATGTGATATTGAAGATTTGAGTCCGATGTGTATAAATATGAAAGTTTAGGTGTGAGATATATAAATGCGTGAGATATATGTGCTATGTATGCAAATGCCCCTTGATTGTATCAAGAATTTTGATACTCATCATGCATCCTTGATAGCTCTAAAAGTATTATCTCTAAGGGAAAGAGAATTATCACTGAAAGAGAATTATCACTCTTAATTACCCTTTCATCTGTTGTTTTTATCCAAAATCCGCTCTATAAGTAACTTCTTAGAACTGACATGCCCAAGTAGAAGGTCTCGGAGAAATTCAAAACTCCATATTGGCAAATGAGAAAAAAAACAATCATTTTGATCACTTCAAGACATTCGAGATTATGATTTCTCTTTATTCAATGGATGCCACTCCTTGTTGCTAGAAAGTAAGATATAAATCAAGCTAGGCCTAACAAAATGCAAATCAAATCATCAAAGAGAGCATACACTACAAACAAAAAAAAAACTAAATAATATCAATAAATTCATTATGTTACCTTTAACATATAGCTTCATGAAAATCTCTAATAAACATGGAGGTCTTAATACTAAATCCTAATCTCTCCCTTAAATAAATAAAATCACTCAAAGTCATACTTCCCTTATGGCAAACAATCTCAACATCCTGGTGTCAAAACTTAACAGCTCAAACAAAGCATAAAGACCAAACAATCCAGACAAAACTCATCTCTCATCATGGCTAGGGATCCATTTATCAAAATCATCAGCCCGCGAAGCCAAATTAGCCAGCTGACCCTTCACACTGAGATCAATTACATTGGACCCATCATCACCATAGCTGATCACAAATCCAGCAATAAGTGTAGGATCAATAATGTTCTCCAACTTCAAATTTGTAAAACCAGTCAGCCTCTTCATTTTTCTAGCAATCAAACTAACCTGCCTTTCATCAAGCTTCAAAGCAGAAGAAACAGACACAGCAAGCGCAACCTTCTTCTCACCCGAAGGTTCATTGTCAAACTGAACCAGAGGTCCCATAAAGAAGGGCTCAAACTCCATCGAATGTTTGTTGTAATCATTTTTAGAGAGAAGCTGAGAAAGCTCTTCAATGCCTTGCTGCTTGCCCATAAAACTGGCTTTAGTTAGTTCCTCTGGCAAAGATACAACTTCTCCATTAATGGTCATGGTTGGTGAAGTTCTGTTTATAGTTGAATTTGGGTTTTGGAGCTTCTTAGTATGAGTTCCATGCAATGGAAGAGATTTTGGGTGGTGGTGATTAGATTCGTGGTTTCCGGTCCCCTTTAGAAGGAAGCTCGGCGGCTGTCCGCCGGAGGTTGCGCAGTGGTTTAAAAGGCTCATCTGAAATTTAGTTTCAGGTTTAGTTGATAAGAAGAGCGGGCAATACTTATGTGTTATTTTCAATATATGAAATTAAAATTTTGATGAATGTTTGCTTCAAACGATGCAACTCAATCATGTTGTTAGAATAAATAGGTTTGCCACAATGGAAAATTTTTTATTTGTTAAAGAAGATATGCAGCAAGGTGTTAAACCAGCAGGACTTAGCAGCCTTCTGAAAAAACTCCTGTATTTTAACTCAGTTTTAGTGAAGCAAAAATCTAAGTATATTAAGTAAAGATAATTCTGCAAATTAATACAAAGATTACTGTTAATAAAGGAAATTTAATTATTAAAAAAATTGCTATAGATATTCAGAGAAAACATCTTAAATTATTCCAATATTGGATCTTTGACATATAATCTCTTTAGAAAGAACTTTAGTCTCATGATAGCTTGCTCTAGTCCCCTTCCGAAACTTTTATTGGGTTAGCCATACACTTCACATGTTTCTAGCGATTCACAAGACATCGTCGAATTAAAAAGTTGAGGATTTAGACAAGAGAGTATTTAACATTTTTATTTTGTCTTGAAAAAATTTGTGTATAGTATCATCAAATCCACAAGCCGACATCAAACTTTCTCATAACAATTTAATGCAGAAATATTTTGATCTAAGAACCATGACAGCAAATATCAAAATATTTATCAAATAAACGACCACAAACCCACAAATAGATTACTACCAACTACTGAGACTTAACATAAATTCTATCAACAATAAAACCTAATTTTATGCACAAAAAAAAGAACCTAAAAGTGCAATAACTTAATTAAATTAAAAAAAGATTCATAAACCATTTCCTTAAAAACTCAATTACTTGCAAAGTTTAATCCTAACACAAGATTCTATAATCAAACAAGAAAAGAAAAACATTATCATACACTTCTGAAACTCTGCTTGCTTGTTTTTTCTATAATCTCAAGGTCTAATTATTAGGTGCGGAGGGCGCGCGCAGCTCTGCGTGCACCCCCTGCACGCAATAATCGCTCAATCTCAAGGGGTTCCCTTGTTAACGGATTTACAGCAGGATTTAGGCAGGATTTAAGCAGAATCCTGTCAGAGTCATTTTGGACAAAATAAACCTTGGGATGCGTTAGTAAATCCTACGAATCAATGAATTTAACTTCGGGCGCTTTGCTCAGCACAACCCGATAACAGCCGTGGTGCAGCTCAGTAATTGCCAAACCATTTCACTAGATTCATAAAATTTATTAAATCCATTGCCCGTTCAGGATTCAATAAATTCAGATTTACAACATTTACTAAATCCTAGTAATTTGAATCTCATATGTTGCCTGACAACACCTAAAAATAGGAACAAGTTGAATCTTCGAGAATCAAATCACCCTTAAGTATTGCAAACTCATTTTGTTTGTGTCCCCCAAAACTTCAAACAGAACCAGATGTGAAAGAGAGAGGGAGAGCTCACCTGCAGATAAGAGAAACAGACTGCTCTTCAGTAGCTGTGCGTGTACTCCTCTAGACCTCCAGTTCAGAAGAGAAGAGAAGCAGAAAGAAAGGAGGGGGGGCTTGTGTAGAGAGCACGAAGGCCACATATATACTCAGGGAATTGGTAGAAGAGGATAAGGCGAGCAGATAATGCTCATAAATTGAAGGTCAGAGAGGATCCGCTGAGAGCCCTCACGACCGCAAACTTCCCATCTCAATTTTAAAGCGCTCCCCAACCCTCTCCATCCACTTTGTGCCACACGCCACAAATTTATTTAAAGGAATATTTGCATGTATTGCACATAGTTTTTATGTATTTACATAAATAACACTTTTGATGAACATTGTAATATTTATGTGCTAGAATGTCTGTAATCTTTTAAAAATTTGGCATATTTACATACCTACCAATTAGTTCATATGGATTTACATATAGAACACCAAAACTTCATTTTTTTTGCACATATATGCTATCTTATCATAGTTATGTTATAAGTAGTGGCATGATGATGCGCCCAACAATTCATCCGGACGACAAAAAATATTAGGTTTGTATCACTGAATGTCGGACGAGGACGTGATGTGATCCACACTGTCTTTAAGAAATCTAGATGACGCAGATAGATTCGATGAGAGAATTAATAGATAAGCTCCAGATCCAAGAAGCAGCAAAACAAAATTTAAAAAGAAAAAAAAAAGAATTTTCATTCACTGTAGAACTTACTAATGTACAGAATATGCTGAAGCATGCCTACAGACAAAATAAAAGTTGGAAAATAAAATCTCAGATTATCCTCATGCCTTCTCAATTTTATCTTCATTTATACAAATAGTTAACGGCTACTAAAAAAGTAGGGTCATTTACATACATACCACCTAATTCCTATATATTTACATATCTAGCACATGAACTTGACTTTTTACATTTATACCACCCATATCTTTCATATCACATCAAGAGTACCACCATTTTAACTTTTTAGAAACACGCCTGTTCAAGCATAGGGAAGATGGAATGTATGTAGATAATAAAGTTTAGGTGTTAGATATGTAAATGCATAAGAATAGAGTGGTATGCAAGTAAATCTTCTAAAAAAAAGGTATCATAACCCTCCTGTTTGTGTTTGTTAGGCATCAGACAGGTGAAGCATTCGATATCCCAAATTGTTGCTGTGCACTGTTTCTGAAAACATGCAAATTGCCAGAAGGAAACGAAAATTTCTTCGGTTTTTCTTGTGGTAGTTTCTCAAATTCGATACCTTGTTGGCGACCGACAGTTTCTTTATCGTCGTCTTCGGCAAATTTAAGATTGTCGAAAGCTCTTTTCGCATAAATGGTGAAGCCGACGGTTAAGAGAACAGCAACTACAAAGGAGAAGATATTGTAAGCTATCTCCAGAGGACTCATTCTATAGCTTCCATATTTCATGTCAGCAAGAGTTCGAATCAGCCGACCGCTGCAATCAGTGTGAAGAAGAAAGATTAGTAAAAAAATTGTTCTCATGTTTAGAGGTAGAAGAGCTTTGGATTATTCAATTAATGGCGCTTTATAATGATCTCAAGATGAATGTTCTTAATCTACTTGTTAGTTATGTGAGTAAAATGTCAGAATAGTCCCCTCATTATTTAGGTCGGGCTATTTTTTAGTCCCGGAGTTTATAAAAGTGCTAAATTAATCTCCATACTGTTTTAATGGAGGCTAAAATATTCTTTACTAGAGACTGTTTCAATCTATATTAAAAAAGTCTCAGACTAAATTGACATTTTTATAAACTCTGGGATTAAAATGATCCCTGCAAAGAGTCAGATGATCATTTTTACATTTTTCACTTATACTAGAGAGAGAAAGTTAGCAGACCTGTAGATGTAAATGAAAGCTTCAGGTATCATCCCAGCTATGGAGCCACAAAGATAAGGCCCAAACCTCATATCAGTCACCACGATACCATAGTTGAATATTGTGTATGGAAAAGGTGAGATTCTGAAGACAGCGACGACTCGAAATTGTTGGAACCAGTTTCCTTGTCCTGCTAACCTTATTACAGATGCCTCCCTGGGCCATCTCATCAGCCATGCCTGTATTTCCACCCAAAACTTCATGATTTTCCGTTCATGAAAAATACTTGGCTCGGCTTGGCTTGAAGGAATTGGGGGAAATATAAATGTGGTAAAAATTGCATGTTGGTGTTTGGTTTCAGTGTTAGTACATAATGAAGAACAGTGTCAAAATGGTCCCTGGGAGTAATTTTAATCCCCTAATTTACAAAAGTACCAATTTAATTCTCATATTTATAAAATTTGAGCTGAAATAGTCTCATGATACGAATATAGCTTGCGGACTAGTTTAACACTTTTATGGACTCTAAGAGTACAACGGCTCCATACAAATAAATAGTCACGAGACTATTTTGGCAGTTTAATCGTACACAATGAGATTTTCTCAAGAGTTGCGAACAAATACATATTTCTGTTTACAATATCTAACCCTACTTAAATGCTAAAAAAATAATTGATCAGGTTATCATTGTAACTCATGTCCTCTTCTCACGAGAAATAAAAAGTGAGAAAATAAAATTAATTTTTCACTTAATGTCTTCTCAACTAACCAAAAAAATGAAAATAAGAATAATAATATTTCAATCCCTTCACCATTTTGATTCCATCTCCATGTAATATTCTTTCCTGCAATTCCTTCGAACCAGACAAAGCTTTTGCATGGTAGAAGAGAGCAAATGAAAAAACTTACGTGTAGTCTTTCGCGGAATAATGAGCCAAACAAGTAGGGCAGAACCATACCAATTGTAGTTCCAACCATGATTATTAGAAAGCCAAATCCATAACCAAAAATCATTCCGGCCAGCCACATTGAGGGGCCTGAAGGAAGGAGGACGACAGGGAACAGAGCCAAAGAGGCCACGAGTATAAGAGCAAGAGCTGGCCGCCCAAATGCTGTTGCTTCCCATTGCATCAATGGAATGAGAATCTACAACATAGTTTTGTGGTGTAATACATCAATCAAGCCTTCATATATACAAAAGAAATGGGTGGAAAGTATGTAAATGCCCCCAAAAGAATTTTGATAGTGGAAGTCTAAGGCTGGTAATACCTTCTCAAAAACAAAAGGAATACCCCATTTCACAAGAACGAAACAAAGTATTATCAAAAGAAAGCTGAAAAATAAGGCCTTCTTCCACCACGTAAGTGGTCCGTGCTGTGTGGTTTCAGGGATTGGTAATGCACTGGTATCACCTGCACTAGTCTCGCCCGGTTTGACTAGCCTTGCATACTCATTTTCGTCCCCTGATTGTTGTCTGGTATTTTCGATATTCTTTCTGAAACCCTCGGTTGGATTTATCATCTCTAAAGTTCAAAATTTTGCTGCAAATATTGAATGAAATTATAAGAATGAGTAGCAGAACCTTTTTTTTCTGGGGGACATTTACATGTATAGCACAAAATTCTTGTGTATTTACATATCTCACAGCTAAACTTTCATATTTACACACATAGTGCTCAAATCTTTAATATCACATCAAAAACAACACTATTACCACTTTTTAAAAGTGAAATACACCTTTCCATGAATAGGTTTAAAGCACTAATAAATATAAAGTTTAGGTGTGAGATATGAAAATACATAAGAATTGTATGCTACCTATGTAAGTCTCCTTTTTATTTTTTAACTCGTGCACACATGCATATGTGCTAGGCCTTGAACTCACAACTATGTGGTTGGATACAAAGCACAAAACTAGTAGGCTCGATGGACTGCACATAATTAGTAGAACTTTGATAAAAATTAAATTACATTCTTACAATTGATGTATCAATAAGAAATGAAAAAAGAAACAAATGTTTAAGTGAGCCACTTTGGAAGGGTTACAATTTCCAGACATTTATGAAGAAAAATGCCACTGCACGGCACTCTCGGTTGGCATTAAAAAGTGTGTTTTATGATTTTTCGTCACAAAAAAGGGCAAGTTAGCATGGCGATTGAGAAACTTTCTTGGCACTTAGCAAAATACAAAGCACGCCCATTAAGAGAATCATGTCATGAATATTTGCACAGGAGGAGAAAGAATTCATCTAACTGTAATTTTTTTTGAAATTTATTTTCTAGTGAAGGAAATGATCCAAGAATGAGGTACTTCTTGAATCTAATTTTCATGAAAAGCATATAAATCTTGCAAAGAAAATCAAACTAGGACTTCACATTTGGTGCGGAGATATAGTACGAGACCACCATCAAAATCATTTTCTATTATTTTAGCTATTTTTTATTATTTCTAATATTGTTTTAATTTTTACGTGTTTGATTGCATTGAAAACAATAAACTAAATTATTCTTTTGTTTCATTAGAATTATCTTTTTATTTAATTTTTTGATAGGATTTACCTTGATTTAATTTTGAACTAGTTTAAATGCAGACATATTCCAATAAATAAGGATAGGAAAGAAATGTATTTTATTATGTATTATAGAATTAAAAACAAAAGCTACCATTATACCTGTTTTCTCTCTTCTTCATTTCTCGAATCTCAAGATTTTCTCTCCCAAGATTGCAAAATCAAAACTCTGGTTCGTAACAAAATTGAAGGACAGAAAAAATCTCTTCCAGGAAACACAAAATCCTCCAACTCATCTTTCCTTCTCTTGAATCCTCTTTAAAAAAGTTAATTCATCACTCCATCTAATTTAAATTCAAAGAGAATGCAAGATGTTTGAAAGGCAAATTTGAGAGGAAAAAAAAAAGGAAAAGACCAAGAAGAGGATTAATAGCAAGGATCCATCATCAATCCTGTAGTTAAAAAGCCTCATTATGATATTAGAGCCAAAGCTTCAAAGGGTTCTAGCATTTAAACCATTAACCCTAACCATCATACACAACCCACGCCCAATGATTAAAAAAAAACCTAAACCTAAATTAATGAATGTTGAAACGTGAAGATCAAACAATCATCATTCATATAACTAACCATCATCTCATAATGACAAGTACTATCATATACTTTATTTTTATCAATATCACACCTACAATTATTCAGATTACAACAATGACTATATCAGTCATTCTAATCATTATTAGAGGCATAATTATCATAAATCATCTTCAAGACTTAATGACCTCGATGCCTGTAATCATAAGTAATATCTCTACGTGATCCAGTATTTCATGAAGAATACAAACAATTGCATAAGCATTATTGACATCTAATAGTTCATATAATTACTATATATGTTTTAAACTCATCAAAACCATTTCATCGTTGTAACAGATTGCATAAAAATAATTTATCAAACTCTACAAGCCTAGAAAACTATGTAAATGCCACAACTTCAGGGCATGTTTGGTTATGATTTGATTTCATATTTTTCTATTTTCCAGAAACAAAAAAAAATTGATATTGGAAAATACTTTAAATGAATTGCTAATGGGTTTTATTATTGAAGCAAATTAGTGTGCTTCCAAAAAATTTCAAAATATAATGTTAAGTATTTCACTCATTTTCAAAACATCTATTTTGCAACACGCACGCACACAAACACACACACACACATCTAAACATATATCAATTTTAAGTGAAAACTAAATAAAATAAACAAAAGAAAAATAACTCATCAAAAAACACAACCACACATAAAAAACTTCAATCAATTTCAGAAATTCAAGCACATATCTTAACTCGTACGAAAAATTCAATAGATCCCATTGTTGATAAGGCCTTTAAGATAGTCTATTGAAATAATAAGGATTTTATTGATGAGCTTGATGATGGTAATAATACAAATAATCATATTACTTGTAATTGAGTCTCACGTTGAGCATACATTAGTGTTCATACTTGAGATAATTATTGAACCTAAATCTAAGATCGTATACAGCCCTATTATTAATCTTTAAGCAAGATATATTTTTTTTTATTGTAATTATTTTAATAAGATAAAAAGGGTAAGTTGCACTAAAATTTAATGTATAGATGCTAAATTATTCACTAGATATATAAGTTATTCCAAAAAATATCAATATTGTTGTTTATTTCGCATTAATATACAACTTGCATGACTCGGAAGGTAAAAAAAATGTATCCATGCACATGGATTCGATGAAATAAAAGACACGCATCAAAACCATTTTAGTTCATTTTAGCTATTTTGCATTATATTTCTTTTAAAAATTTGAAAACCATGAAGAATAATAAATTAAACTGCTATTTTGTAGCCAACCCCACTTAGTGGGATAAAGGCTTATTTTTGTTGTTGTTGTATTAACAACAACAACAACAACGAGCCTATATCCCCAACAACAAGCCTTTATCCCACTAAGTGGGGTAGGCTACATGAATCCTTTTTATCCATTGTGTCCAACTGAGAGTCATATTTTCATTTAATTCTAATAAATTAAGATCATTTTTTATACAACATGCCCAAGTTTTTTTCGATCTACCTCTATCTTTCTTAACACAAGTTGAATCTAAAACATCTATTCTCCAAACAAGATCATCAAATGGTCGAAGTTTAATGTGACCAATCCATTTAAGATGGCCCTCTCTAATCTTGTGCGCCACTGGAGCTATACTAACCCTTTCACGGATATATTAGTTTCACATTTTTTTCTCTAAGTGTAAAGCCACCCATCCACTTAAGCATTCTCATCTCAGCAACACTTGGCAACATACTGCGTCATAAAACATTACAGATCTCGCAACCATCTTATAAAATTTTCTTTTAAGTCTAGGAGGTACTTTTATTTTTACTGAATGTTAGAGCTTATCTAATATTAGAACTTATTTTGATTTAATTTTGAAATAGCTTAAATGTAACGCAATTTCTATAAAAACGAATAAGAAAGTCATACGTTTCATACTTTAATATTGAATGAAATTTGAAAGCAATTCTTCCCATTAATCTCCTTTCAAATCACATTTTATCTCTCCTAAAATTGCAAAATCAGAACTCCCATCTTCTCAAGAAATTACAAAAACCAAATCTTATATCTATTTAGAGCCCCACCATGCCCAACCCCTACCACAACTTTTCTCTCAAAAAACTAATCTTTAAAAGGCTAGTTAATCCCTCTCTTACTTTTGAATTAAAAAACACAAGCAATTCCAATGGCAAATTTAAAAAAATAAGAAAGGACAAAACACAAATTCTTATCTTTTCGAAGAGCATGTTTGGTTTACATGAAAAAAGCAATTATAATTTTTGTGTCTTGCATGCAAAGCTTGTCTACGGCCACATGAGCATACGAACTTAGCTATATAGCAACTCATAATATAATATGACTATTATGATTTTATTTTGGGGAATTTACATACATACCACTCAATTCCTATATATTTACATATTTATAAGATATACTTTGCTTTTCTTGTACATTTATCACATAAAACATACCACCATTTTAACATTTCAAAAGTGAAATATACACCTTCTCATACAAAAAGTAGTATGTATGTAAAATAAATTTTAGGTGTTGGATATGAAAATACATAGGAATTGAGTTGTATATATGTAAATCTTCCTTTTATTTTATACTAACACAAGAAAAAATAAATGTAAATCCTTTGACTAATTGGAACATTTCAAACTTTATTATATTGACAAAACTTTAATGGATTTCTAAAGAACATGTGATACAAATCATGTATTAGATTTAGGGTGTGTTTGGGGGAGCTTATTGCACGCGTTGCGTTTTGAAAACGCTGAAGGGGCTGTTTGGAAAACGCTTCTCCATTGCGTTTTTAAATAATCCAACAAAATTTTTACTAAAGCCGAACGCGGGATCCCCCATGCGGCCCACGTTCGCTAAAGGAATAACACCTCCCGTGCCCTCGTCTCATTCCCTCATCCCATGCCCTCCTCCCATTCTTCTTCGACCGCTACCGTCTCCCTCTCAAAGGTTTCTCTCGATCTTTGTCTTTCTCCTCCTCCACCTCCATCCTCTGTCTGATCTTCTATTGTGGTGCTCTGTAAGTAGTTGTTACACTCTACTCTGGTGCAATGAATTTTTTTGTGAGATTTTTTGGTTTCACGTTTCCATTGAGCTTTGAGAAGCTTGTGATGGTTGCGTCTGTGGTGATTTGTGAATTGCGTTGTGTGCAGACTTGTGATGGTTGCGAGTCTAGCTTTGAGAAGCTTGTGATTTGTGATGGCTTGCATTTGACTTTGAGAATATTTGAATGCTATTGTTGCCTCTTTAAATATTCTATCTTCCAGCAATCTGTTGAGCTCTAAAAGTGGCAAATCAGCTTCAAGTTTGTTGAGGACTTAAGAAAATTGGCATTACTTCTTAGCTCAGGCACATTGGCATTTTCTTTAGAATTTTATGGATAAAAGGACTTATTTATATTTGGTGTCATTGTGGTAAATCACTCTGACTAGCATTTGCTTTTGTTTTACTAGCTATTCAAAGCTGTAACTTATGATATTGAAGTTGTTGATAAACACCAGAAATAAGTTTAGAATTGGCATTATTGCTTTGCTCGGTCACATTTGCACTTGTTCTAAAATTTTCTGGATTAAAGGACCTATTTATATTTGATTTCATTGTGATAAATCACTAGATGACTAGTGCTTACTCTTGTTTTACTAATTACTCAAAGTTGTAACAGACGATACTAAGCAAAATTTGTCGCTTGGGTGTGCTTGTGTGTGGTGTGAGGTGGTGTTTACGGTGGTCGTGAGTGGTGCTTATGGTGGTAGTGAGTGATGTTTATGGTGGCTTGAGTGTACTCTGCTGGCCTTGGGTGTGTGGGTTGATGGTGGATGTGAGTTGTGCATGAGTGTGGTGGCTGTGAGAGCAGTTTATGGTGGTTGTGAGTGGTGTTCATGTGAATGTGTGGGCTTTCTCCAAGCTCTTCTATTTTGTGTTTTTGTTTATTTATATGTAATTCTGTAATGGTATTTAATTCGAATCAAACAACTAGACAGTTTATTCAGATCAGGGGCAGAATAATCATTTATCCAAAAACAGCTACAAATCAACTGTTTTACAAAACACAAACCAAACAGCCGGTCAGCTTATTCGGATTAACTGTTGATAGACAGCTTATCATGATAAGTTGTTTACCTGAATAAGCTAGATAAGCTGCAGCTGCCCCAAACAGACCTTTAATTTATATCAGTACAGCACTTCAATAAACCTATAACATTTATACATTTAAAAAATCCATTAAATTTCCTTTTTAAAAAGGGGCATTTACATACATAGCACACCATTCTTATGTATTTATATATATCACACCTAACTTTCATATTTACACATAGCACCATCACCACTTTTTAAAAGTTAAATACACCTATTCATGGATAGATTTAAGAAACCAAAGTGATATATATGCAAGTATGAAAATTTAAGTGTGAGATAAGCAAATATATAAGAATTGTACGCTAGCCGCGAGGTATGTACATTACCCTTTTAAAAAATAATGCGCCCTCAAAACAGCTTGTTTCAAGCTTACAAGAATCTTCATTAAGAAGCAGCAGACTAAAGTCCTCTCAGCTGTTATGGAAACTGTTCCCTTCTATAAATTAGTATTGACATATAGGAGAAACAAATATCTTAGACAGAATTTGAAGGTTGTTAATGGATTCTGCCATCTTAGCAAAATTTTCAGAAAAGCTATAATAAAACCTGCCAGAGAAAATAGATGACCTTACTGCAACTTCAGGAGCCTAAAAAAGAAG